GAGGAGGGCCCTGAGTACCACCCTGCAACATATTCTAAGGAGAACCTTGGGCACAACCCGATGGAGAATCTAGAGGCTGGCCGAGATGAAAGCGCTGGGGGAAATTTTTAGATGATAGGAAATTATATATGACTGTTATATTTGAAGTAAAATTTGTTTAAATAAGTTGATGTATTGGATACCATGAAGTCCATTTGGTTTATGCAAGTTATTGAGATTGAATGACATAAAATTTTCTAAATATTTTTCTCCTTTTTTTCATTATTAATCTAGTGCTTAAGTAATTCTAAATTTACATTTTATTAAGGTTATGGCAACTCATTCTAGAAACTCTAACAATAGGAATGGGCAACCCCAGGCCGGGGCTACTGAAACGAACAACGACCACAGCAACAACCAAAGCAACCAATTTATGTAGTTTTTGGAAGCTATACGTAACATGACACCACCCGCTACACCACCTGTTGCATCACCACCTGCAGAGAGGAGTGTGGCTGTAATAGTGGAACAATATCATAAGTTGAAACCCCCTAGCTTTGAGGGAGGCACAGATCCACTAACTACAGAAAAGTGGACATGCAAGCAGGAATGAATATTCGAACTTGTTGAGTACCCGAAAACTCGGAAGGTAATTTGTGCAACCTTTACGCTGGATAAATGAGCAAGATATTGGTGGGAAATGACCAACATTAGGTAGACAAGGCTTGACGTGGAGTGAATTTAAAGAATTATTCCTATAGAAATACTTCCCTACCAACATTCGAGACCAGAAGGAAGTGGAATTCCTAATGTTTAGACGGAAACTTAACACTGGCAGAATATGAAAGGAGGTTTGAAGAATTATCTCGCTATGCCTGACTCTTAGTCAACACGAGGAAAAGAAAGCTAAACGCTTTGAACAAGGTTTACATGATGACCTTCGACAGGCAGTGGTCACCTTTGAGCTGGGTACATACCACCAAGTGCTAGCAAATGCACAGTAAACTATCTCACTATGCCCCACTCTTAATTAACACGGAGGAAAAGAAAGCTAGACGATTTGAACAAGGTTTGCGTGATGACCTTCGACAAGCGGGTGTCACCTTTGAGTTGGGTACATACCACCAAGTGCTAGTAAAGGCACAACTAACCAATTTTAAAGAAAGCTCCAACAACACCAACAAATAGAAGTAGCCTACACCACCTAAGAAGCGTAAATGGTAAGACGACAAGGGCAAAGAAATGCAAAACTTCGTAAAAAAGAGCAAGGTGGGCCAACTTCGAACAATTATCGAGTGCTCCCCATCTGTAGCAAATGCTAGGAACACCATGCTGTGACATGTATTATAGGAACTAATACCTTCTACAATTTTGGTGAGACAAGTCACATAGTAAAGTTTTTCCCGAAGAAGTAGAAACAACAGAAGCAGAAACCAGGGAACCCACCTAGAGGACATGCTAGAGTTTACGCTCTTACTGAACATGAAGAGGATCATGACCGAAATGTCTTGGCAGGTAACATCCTTATATCTGGTACACTTGCTTATGTTTTGATAGATTCTGGCTTTACTCATTCCTTCATATCCCTGAAATTTATGCTTACACTAAGCGTTATTAGAGAATGTACGCATACCCCTTTAGAGGTTGCCATCCCCTCAGAAAATGTACTTAGCACAAACAACATTGTAAGGACAGGTGAGATAGAAATTAATGGTAGGACCTTGGAAACGAACTTATATGTTTTGGATATACATAAATTTGACATAATCCTGGGGATGGATTGGCTTTCTAAAAATCATGCAACAATTTTATGCTTTGAGAGAGAAGTGATCTTTAAATGTCCTGAAAGGGTAGAACTCCGCCTTTCAGTGACCAAGATAAAGTCTATTCCATGAGTTGTTTCTACATTGAAAGCCCGAAGACTCTTAAGGTCAAAGGAGTGTATAGGGTTCTTGATGACAATCCTAGCGAAGATAGATGAAGCACTGACAGTGGGAGATGTAAAGGTAGTACGGGAATTTCCAGAAGTTTTTCCCAATGAGTTGCCTAGGATGCCTCCTAAAAGGGAAGTAGAGTTCACTATTGATTTAACACCCGGCTCTGCACCTATTTCCAAAGCTATATACAGGATGGCTCCAAAGAAGATACAAGAGTTGAAATCACAAATTGAAGAATTGTT